AATATATTGATTGTTCCAAACAATTTGACTAAGTACACTTGCTTGGGCTCCTTGATCATCAACAAATTGATTATACTCCTTTCTTTTGGACCATGCCAACAACAAGTTATGATAAATATGGGAATTCCAAGAGAATTCAACTGGCTCGTAGAATAATTACTCATAAAAATCAATTTTCCACCAAATCGTTTACTATAGTGGTCAAAGAACAACTTCCAATGATGATCTGATTCTGTATAATATCTCTGAATCCACTTAACCAGCTGTGTCTCTATCATGCATTTTAGTTTCGGGAATTTAAGACCACCTTCAGTATAATCTGCAATCATTGTTGCCCGTGATATCTTATCTGGACCTTTCCATATAAACTGAAACATCAACTTTTCAACCTCCTTAACAAAATCATCGGGTATTTCAATATTGGAAACTATATACATAATCTTAGACATAACAAATGTTTTCAACAGTTGAATTTTTCCTATTAAAGTTAACCCCCGATTCTTCCATCTTAAAAAAGTACATTTTATTTCATCCAGTCTCTTATCAAAGTTCAGTTTCCTGACTACTTCCTGATCATATGAGAAATGAATGCCTAAAATTCTTATGCTTTTGTCTGCCCAATGTATATCATTTGTTTTTTCTCTATTGTGCCTATCTTTCCCAACCCATATACCTTCCGTTTTTGTTTTATTCAAATAAAGACCTGATATGATTGAGAATTCTTCAAAAACTTTGAAAACCATCTTCATTGATTGTATATTCCTACAAAAGCAAGTTATGTCATCAGCATATGCTGTATACTTTATTTGTTTTCCACTAAATTCAAAAGCCTGAATATTATCATTATTATTAAGTCTTGTAAGAACAACTACCAAGCTCAGTATAAACAGTAAAGGAGCCAGAGGATCACCTTGTCTGACTCCTCTAGACACTGGAAAATATCCAGTGGTAAATCCATTCACCAATACACAACTACTTATATTAGTGTGCAATGTTCTAACCCATTGTATGAAAGATGGTCCAAAATTGAACGCTTCTAAACAATTTAGCATGTACCTGTGGCTTATTGAATCAAATGCTTTTGTTAGATCAAGGGCTAGCATAATACCTCTCAAATTCTCCTCCTTAGTATATTGTAAGAGGTCTGATATTAATCGTATTCCTTCCCCTATGTATCTGCCTTTAATAAAGGCAGTTTGTTGACTATCTACTAACTTTCCTATCACTTTAGCAGCTCTCTTCGCCAAGCATTTAGAAAGTATTTTAACATCTACATTTAAAATAGTTATGGGACGCCAATTGCTCAGTGTGTGTTTATCTCTATCAGGCTTAGGGATGAGTTTAATTGTACCTTGTCTTTGTGACACAGACATTACACTATTTTCATATGCAAAATTGAAAGAATCAATAACTTCTTTTGATATCAAAGGCCAAAACATCTCATAAAACTCCACAGTTAACCAATCGTTCCCAGGTGTTTTATTTCTAGCCATTTTTAACAATTCTGCCCTAGCTTCAGAGCAAGTGATATTTCCTTCACATGAATTTCTTTCTTCGTCTGTGAGTTGCTTGATGTTACTCTGACTTATGTAATCTTTGCTCACCTCATCTTCCACCTTATCTTTGTTCTCAAACAAAGTTTGATATGATTTCTTAATGAAATCCTGTATTTCAGACTGTTTATCAATACGTCCTACATCTGAAGTCAAAACATCAATATTGGAATTTGCTGCTTGACCTTTTTCCAATGACAAAAAATATTTAGTACTCTTTTCCCCTTTCTCATACCATGTACACCTTGACCTCAAGATTGCCCCATCTGCAAAATAGTCATATATTTTAAACAACTCCTATTCTATTTCCCTTTTCTTTTTCATTAATTCTTCATCTATATCTTCTGCTGCCATCCTGTCATCTAATTTTTTCAATTCTTTTTCAAGAGCCTTTCTTTTCTCTTCCCTTTCATATTTCTTCTTCTTAGAAAATGGTACAGTAAATTCTCTAATTTTAAACTTTAACCAATCCCATAGCCCTCCTTTATCATTACTATCTGTAAACTCACCAATCCATTCTGAGTATTTATTAGCTAAAGCATTAACATACTCCACCTCATTCAATAGACTATTGTTAAATTTCCAGTAGGACGGACCAGAATTTTTTGTCTTAATTTTCATGTGCAAACTAACATGATCATGATCAGACAAAACACACGGTATGATATCATTTTCACTAATTGTATTCTGTAAGGATTCATGGATTAACCAAAAATCCAATCTAGATTGCACCAGTGGGTTATACCTTCTCCATGTAAATCCTTTTTTGCAGGGGTTTCTGATTCTCCAAACATCAACCAAACCAAAATATATTTTCAGATTTTCTATAAGATTCACAGAGTGCTTCCAAATGCTTTTCATTGAGCCACCTGCCCTGTAAAGATCAAGGTTTTGAATTAAATTAAAGTCCCCACCAATTATTAGAATTTCCCCATTTTCAACGTTATCTTGTATGGTCAATTCTACCTTCTTAAAACACTCAACCTGATCCTTCTCATTATTTGGTGCATATATGTTGCATATCACATAAACTTTCTTCTGAATTTCAACTTTTACCAATAAAAATCGTCCCATTATATCTTTAATGGAGTCTAACAATTTAAAATCGGGTGTCTTTCTTAATATAATGCATACTCCTCTGCTCTTAGAAGTTCCATGACTGAAAATAATATCAGATCTAACTTGATTTCTCCATAATGATTCTTCCTTTTCTACAGAATGAGTTTCCTGTAAAAGGATAATATCTTTGTTCTGTTTAAGCATATAATTAAAATAACGTTTCCTTGCTTTAAAATCCCCCAATCCGTTAACATTATGTGTCATCAGCTTCAAATCCATAGTTGAGATATGAATTTCTTTAAAATACCACCATTATAAGATCAGGTTTAACATATATTAAACATTCAGGTTCAACAAACAAACAACACAAAAAACAAATCATAACAAAGGCTAGTTCTTCTGTATGCCTTAGGGAGATCAAGGTGGCGCTCTACATCGTGGTCTTTCCTTTTTTCCTTTGAGTGCTTTTTCCACATATTCACCTATAAAAGTTCACTCTCAGAATTAGTTCATGAAAGATAATTAAACAAATAAGAGTTTAAGTTCTTGTCATTAACCTAATCTAAGTATTCCTTTTTCACTTTTCTTCTTGTTTTTAAGTAGGCAAGGTAAGTCCAGTTCTATAACATTATTCATGTTTTGTTTTTTTTTAATGTTTCGATGCATTTCGATGTGGAATGATAATATTTTCTTTCCTTTGACTTTTTGAGTTATTTCATCTTGTATTCTATCTCCTTCCCGTCTTTTCCTTCTTTGTAGAAGATGCGAGCAGGATACTTGAAGTACACTGCTCTCCTTGTATTTTCCTCTTTCAGCTTCTTCTTGATGTGAATCAGCTTCTTCCGTTGTTCACGAATTTCCTTGGGCAACATTTCATCCACGTAAATAGGATGCTTTCCCTTGTGCTCAAAGGGTTTCTCCTTCAAGAAGCGACGTGCGTTTACCAGGATCATACTTTTTGTCGAGTACCGATTAAAGGCTGCAATAATCGGCCTTGGTCGAGGTGATGAGGTGCTTCCGCTGCGATGTGCCCTTTCGATGATTACTTCAGCTTCAATCTGCAAATGCGACTTGGCAAATGACTGGATCAAATTTTCACAATTCTTGTTCTCAGCACCCTCTGGAAAGCCTTGGAACACAAGTGTGTTTCTCATTCCCCTGGCGGATAGGTCTGTCAGACGTTCGCGCAACTTCTTATTCTCCTTTTCTTGTGTGTGCAATTTCTCTTTGATTGAACCAATGTCAAACTCAATCCCTTCTTGCTTTTCCTTCACTTCTTCTATCTCTCTCTTATTGTTATCAATCTGAGTAAGGGATAAGTCTAATCTGGCCACTATGTCATTGAATTTTGAGTTCATTTGATCCATTCTGTCAAAAAGCTTTGCTAGTAAATCTTCAGTGGTAGTACTTGCCTGCACCTTTTGATCTCCATTGATCTTTCGCTTCTTCTCTGCCCGCGGTTCGTCTTCGTCTTTTTCCCTCTCCTTTCCTCCGACAGCTTGGGGGTGCGACTCCTGCGAGTCCTGGCCTGCTTCGCTGATTCCAGTAAGCACTGACTGCTGAGTGAGATTTTCAAGTTGAATGTCCGAGTTTTCATCGATATCCATCTCTGTTCTGCCTGAAATTGAGCCAGAAGGGGTGAAGTATTGGGAAATCCTTGGTGAATCGTCCATTTTGTCCATCTGTCTTTTCTTTCCACTCATTTTTAAATGATCTTACAGGAATTTTCCACGATGAGAAAAAAATACGGTTTGACTTAGTAGGGCGCCATCTTTCTCCTTTATTATTATTATCATTACTAGTATTATTATTATTATATTATTATTATTATTATTATTATTATTATTATTATTATTATTATTATTATTATTATTATTATTATTATTATTATCATTATTACTACTACTACTATTATAATTATTATTATTATTATTATTTTCTTCTGTACATTATTATTATCATTCATCAAAATCGTCATCATTATGATTATTTACCTCCAATGTGCATTTAGGAAACCATACAGAAAACAAATAATTAAACCGGAAGTTATTATTTCGCTTACAAATAGTCTTTCCGTCTTTGAGAAAGATCGATTAAATTATTTGATTCCCAAATATGGAAGCGTGACCATGGACGGAAACGGCTACTTCTATGTTAAGATAAGACAGGGTGATGAAGCATTTTTTTTATTTGAAACTGAAAGAGGAAAGTTAATGTCAACAAGCCCAGAAAACAAAACAGAAGGCTCCTAGTTTGTCTTAGGTCATTTCAGCGCGAGACACATCAACGTTCATTTCTTCTCCAGTCTATGTACATACATTTTGAAATACAATCATAAACGAATAGCATCTGTTACTGACATCAACTCCATCACTTTGTTGATTTAACATGAAGTTCGCCTCCGAGGAGACAGTGTTCGTAACTATCGCCATTGCAGCCATCGTGTCTTTACAAGGTGGTAAGTATACTTAGACATATTCATGATCGTCATAAAAACTCATCGCATTTTTGTTGTTTGAATTTGTTTTGTTTACTTTGCTTAATACTTGTAAAATATTATTCAAGAACGATTGGATAGTTTTAGGGTAGTTTTAAAAGACAGACCGAATACCATGTTACAAACCTTAATGTATCCACTGTTACGTGCATTTGTTCTCTTAATTCTCAGTTTAATTATCTTTATTCATCTTGGGAAACGGAGGTGCTAGGGACGCTGCAGCACCCTCCCTCAGTTTTTGTTTTTCGGGGTAGCACTTCATCCCCTATATTAGATGGTGCTGAAGGGCTGCTGCACCGGGAGCCGTCTACTTAGTTTGAAGAGAAAGGGCACCCAGAAATGTAAAGACGTTATTTTCGTGACAGGCCACCCTTCAGCGCCCTGTTAAAAAGGGAAAAAATCACTTTCAATTTAACCTACCTTGGGGTGCTGTTATTAACTGTATCTGCTGTTTCAACATTCCGCTGCGTCAGGTATTACCATACGATTCAGAGAAAGCAGCCGTCTTATAATTTCGAAACTGTCCCTTTCATATCTTAATACAGTAACAAGTCAGACATCCTCTTCCGAATGGCACCGGCTGGATGACGCAGTCTATCTAGTGGATGGCATCACCCGAGTAAGGTACGATGAGGCGCAGTCTCTCTGTCAAGATTTATACGGAGCAAATCTAGCAAGGGTTGACTCAGACAAGATCCAGGTATGATTAATTTTGATTTAGGCTTAGCTCTGTTTAAATGTGTTTTCATTATAAATCAACCGTTGCTCACGAAGCGTCACTTTCTGACGTAACAACATGTAAAGGTAATGGTTATGATAAAAATGAATGCAAAATGAACGGTGTACTGATAAAAATTGCCATGTTCCTGGCGCATGCGATAATATCTATTACACACGAGGATTGCGCATCATGGATTTCGTCAATACCTGCGCTAATAGAGCCTACAAAGGCAGTTAGTTTATGGGCGAGTAATATAATGTAATCTGTGCACAATTTACTTCTGGAACGTCACTCACACAGGATAGGGCAAACACCGCGCCAGTCAAAGATACTGCCTGAAGTCAGCAATGACGCCTCGTGTCCAAATGGTAATATTCATTGAATAGGAAAATGTCAGATTCTTCATAATAAAAAACGATTCTAAATCATTGTACATAGAATGTTGTGTACGATTCTCCATTCGAGTGATGTCACGTATAGAGAGATGTGGAGAATGTTTCACTTTGGTTTAATAGTTTCTAATCAATATCATCTTACGCTCAGTCCATAAAACTTTTCTTTGTGATTTCTATTCCGGGTAACGGGTTTTAGGAATGGGAATTTAGTCGTATATGTATGTTTTGTATTTGTCAATATCAATGTAGGATTTCTTGACGACTTTCATCTCTCCGCCATTAGAAGATACGCGGTGCTTTTCGATTGGTTGTGATGACAGCGAGGTCGAAGGTCAATTCAGATGGCTTGATGGCACACCAGTGATGTAAGCACTATAATCACGATATCGACAATAAAATAAGTGCAATTTTTTATCAATCTTGTAGGACCAGGTCATGTCATTTAAACCGTATCAGGACAATTACCCCCTGGGCAATCACCCCCCGGAAAATTACCCCACACGTGTGTGCATAGCACTTGACGACAGCCAGAGTCATGCAAAATTAATAGTCTGTAAAGACTTTGGGATTTGGGAGAAACTTTTCATTTTTTAAGAGGGTACCGTGACTAACAAAAATTTAAAATAACGCTGCTCGAGAGAAATGTATTTCTATGCATTTTGAAAAGCGCTGGACAATTACCTTAAACTTACATCCTTCGTGGTAATTACCAACCGCACTGGCGTTGCATAAATTATAATAAAAGGGAAATGTGTAGTAATGAGAAAGACAACGTGCTATAGGATTTTAAAGAATTGGGTTCATGCAGGGGATCTTATGGGCTCGTAGCCATCTCTCAATGTGTCAGATCGTCTTTTGTTATTGAATCCTGATTGTCCACGGTAGTTTTCCTCGGGGGGGGGGGGGTAATCGTCATCTGGGGGTAGATGTCATCGGGGGGTAATTGTCCTCGGGGGGTAGCCGTCCTAGGGGTTAATTGTCCTCGGGGGTAGTTGTTCTCGGGGGTAATTGTCCTCGGGGGTAATTCTCCGGGGGTAATTTTCCAGGGGTAAATGTCCTTGGGGGGTAGTTGTCCTCGAGGGGTGATTCTCCGGGGGTAATATTCCAGGGGGTAATTGTCCTTTGGGGGTAATTGTCCTTGGGGGTAGTTGTCCTCGGGGGGTGATTCTCCGGGGGGTAATATTCCAGGGGGTAATTGTCCTTTGGGGGTAATTTTACGGGGGGTAATTTTCCGGGGGGTGATTGCCCAGGGGGTAATTGTCCTAGAACCGTTATTTATGTCAGGAAAAGATTATGTAACCGACATTATTTTTGTAGGGTTTAATAGTATACAATGTTATCATTAGTATTTGTTCACCGTGCCTTGAAGCCTGGGTATTTCATTGTTATTGTAATTGTCATGCATTTTATTTTTCTTTGTTTTATATTAGATATGATGGTTGGGCGCGACGTCAACCAGATAATAATGGTCCGGGAGATCAAGATTGTGCTTGCCTCTGGTCGAGCACAGTGAATTACAGACATGGACGTTGGGACGATGCCGTCTGTTCACTGGACAGATATTTGATTTGCCAGAAAGGAATTTGTGAGTGAGATCACATCTATCAATATGCTTATGTGTTTTCAAATGTCACTCTAGTCTTGCACACAAGGCGTCATTAATTTTGCCTGATGCAAGACTCCGTCAAAGAGTGAGGTGCGGTCTTTGATGCGCCATGTGAGCATGGCGTCGTGCAGAGAATGACCGCGAAATGAACAGTGCAGTATTATATTGCGCATGGGCTAACTACTTAATTCACTGACTTGATAAGCGCAAGCAATTGACGCAATCAAAACTACGTTTCGTGTGCAGCGGGCTTTACATTTGAATTCAATTCAAATTCAAATATATGTGGTTATAAACATCGGATTATAAGGAGCTTAATACGTCGGGAATGTCCGAGTTTCTAAGCGCTTTACATTATGGAATGTTATTGTTCCTAAAAGACCAATGCCTTTCTAACACTCTCATTCTTTCATGTATCTCATCCTACAGATAATTTCCGACTCACAATCCCTCGACCCAATCCCGGTTTCGCTAATGTCTACTGCGCCGTCGACGTCGACATTCAAGGAGAAGCACTGTCTCCAGATGACGTCAGGGTATCCATCGGTTAAAACTCTTTCGTCATCGAGACCGATTTCCTTCTCATCGACGAGCCTTGATGGTGAATTCCGTAATAATAGTTTCATCCTTTACAACGTGACCGAAGGTGAACAAATCTTCTGCTACACAGGTGAACTGCCGGACAAAGATAGATCCTTTTCACTGGCTACTTTTTCTGCTGTCTTTGATTTTTACGGTAATATTATTTATGTTCCAAACTTTTCTCACCATATTTACAGTGAATAAGTATTTTTGTGTATTGTAGTTAACGATGAAATACCCTTAAAGGGCCCATGACATCGAAATACAAGTGTATTGCTGTTGGTCTGCAGTCCTGCATACGTCTCATATTTTGATATGTAAACTTGGGAATTTGTTTCATAGATTTTTAAATATTTTTGAAACATTTGTTTTTCAAACTTGCTAAGCTCTTCCCCCAAAACCTCCAGATCTCATTCTCCGTATGACATCATCTGTCAGTCATCAATGAGCTATTTTGAGAAAGTGGCATGTAACTTTGCCAAAGTTGACCCCCTGTTACAATATCACAAGCAATAGCAAGATATAAGTTGCTATGTCAGACATGTCAGACTAAACTAATATTCTAGAATAGACAATGGTATGTAATTTCCCCCCAGTTTAGCACACGTTCATAATTGAATTGCATGCTTCCATACATATTTACAATACATCATCATTGCCTTTGGCTTCCTGGTGATGCTAGGGCTGACATAGCAACTTGTATGTTGCTATTGTATTACGTCTTGTAACAGGTGGTCGACTTCGGTAAAGATACATACCAATTTCTCAAGTTTCAAGTTAGCTCATTGATGACTGACAGATGATGTCACAAGGGGAATGAAATCTGGAGGTTTTGGGGGTGAAGCTTAACAAGTTTGAAAAACAAATATATTTTTAAAAATATTTAAAAATCTATGAAACAAATTCAAAAGTTTAAATATCAAAATATGAGATGTATGCAGGACTGCACACCAACAGGAATACACTTGTATTTCGATGTCATGGGCCCTTAAACATTTTTTTTTTTAAATCGATTTGTCCCGATGTATCTGTCTTGAGAATGTGACATATTAAAGTATGCATCTAAAATTATTCAACGTAATCCCTGTTTCGTTCTTGAGTTTCGAATAACACAAAAATCATTACAATCATCAAATTCACAAGGAGTAGGCATAATTCAGTCGATCACTGTGTGCATTATATAACAACATACAACAAGATTGCGATTGATTTGATGGTTATTTTACCTGACCGCTGAGAGAGCATTAATGCTTTAAAGCAGGCCCTAAGTTAATGCTTTAATGCTTGTAAGTAAGCAACCAGACTCCGAAGGACCTGGTAGTAAGGATTAATGCCTTACCAAAGGGCACTTGCGCATCGTCTTGGTTTCGAGACCACTGCTCTACCAACTGAGCTATCGCGCCTCCATGCATGGACATTATCCGAAATATAATACCTACTTTGTATTTAAGAATGCAACCTACTTGTAGCTTTATTAAGTCAATTTAAAGCAGGCCCTAAGTGAATTCAGATTGGGATGGGGGTTTTCACTTGTTTTATTTCTTTGTTTTTCATGAGATTTCTTTTCATAACACAAAGGTAATTTACACATAAACGAGTTCAGGCGCGTACGCAAGATTTTTTCGAGGGGGGGGGGGTTAAAATTTGAAAATTGCGCCAAAAATTTCACAACGACTCAGCCAGCTGCTGAATAAGCGGGGGGGGGGGGGGGGGTAAAAGCATATTTCGTTCTGGTGGGGGGGGGGGTAAGGTCACTTTTTTTATGACCCATTAACACAATTTTTTGTTAACTATTATTATCTATATAAGTAATACGCTAAGGCTCCGCGGGGGGCGCGACGTCTCCGCGAGCCTTTGTATTCTATTGTTTTTTAATGAGATCGCCGACCGAAGTTGGTGCGGCTATCTCCTCCTGAACCCTCCCCTCGGGGTACCCGTGCCCGGTGCCATCGTCCGTGGGAGAGTCTACTCTGTGGAATTGGCTATACTCCGCCCGAGGTCCTCCTCCGTGTCGACGTCCAGGGCGAAAACAGACGCGATATGCATAATGCAGGATATGCGTGACGACAGAGATACCTCATGGATATTCAACATTACATCCGTAGACACACGACCGATGACTATCCACTCACATTAAGTTACGTATTAAATGCACGATGCACAGGGTCGGGATTACCCGAGTAAAGCATCTTTCTATAGGATATCCTTTGTAGTAGCTGCGTAAGCACAAAGCAAGAGAGATACACGGGCTTCCCGTCTAGTTATTATTATATTTTTTTAATGAGGGTTTTTTTTTTTTCTCCTCAAAAACACACAATTTTTTTTTAGGTGGGGTTCGACTCCCCCCCCCCCCCCCCCCCCCCCTGCGTACGCGCCTGATCGAGTTGTTAACGGGACTGCTTTATCATTTTCAGCCTTACCAAAGCTACAATCCGGCCCGACAGTCGGAGAGCTCAGCCCGTCATCAGTCACTGTCTTCTGGAGCTCTTGGATACCTTTTATGGACTCTGGCGACGGACCAGTTGTTGGTTACCTTATCTATCAGCAAACTATGGAAGAGGAATGGATAGTGGTTGGTAGAATCGACTTGGATATGGGAGAGGGCGATCTTCAACCGAGAATGGAGTTTGTATTGACTGAGTTGGAACCAGGAACAGAATACAATATCAGTGTGTCTGCCGTCAGAGATGGTCCCGGCGGAGAAGGACCAAGAAGTCCACTTGTGACTGTTACGACTCCTACCCTCGGTGAGTGGTGATTAGTAAAATAATAATATATAAGATTTATAAGGCGCCAAATTCACTTAACAGTCAAATGCTCAAGGCGCAGCTTGTGCAAAAGATGAAATACATGATACATTTATACAAAGTGCAATAGAAGGTCCAGACATGAGAGGTTATGGTAATCAATTATAAGCTAAATAAACAGATATTTCTTAAGATTGTTTTTTAACACTTCAGCAGAGCTGCTATTCTTAATCCATTGAGGGAGAGTATTCCATAATGAAGGCCCAGCATGAGCGAAGGTTCGCTCCCCCACTTGTTTTAACCCTAGGAATAACAAGTAAGCCAGAGTTTTGAGAACGTAGCTGTCTAGAAGGAAAGTAATGCTTAATCAAGCCGATGTTGTACTGCGGAGCAGACCTTTGTATACAGTGAAATAATAGCAAAATAATTTTGAAAACAACACGTTCAAGACCAATATTGATGATGATTTCGTATACGGATGTAAACAGAAACATCCAACCATCAGAAAAACGCATAAGTCCTAGCCTCAATAGTCCTATGTCAGTTGGTGGATTTGGCGGTTGATCCTGCGTGTACCCCTTACGCTGAGCAAGGCGCGGAGTTGGGAGGCGGGTCGATGGGACTTTTTTAAATAATATTGTCGAGTTAAAATGCCAGATCCTTTGCTGATTATTTTCGCCTCAGATAATTCCCCTTTTACTTCGGCTGCCCTTTTTTCCTTTCTAATTAAGGTCCTTTCCCTTCTGGATAAGTGCCCTCTTTTCTATTTAACATGAAAACGTGCTCCTAATTTAAAACGGCTAAGAATAACGTTTTCTTTAATTTCACTCATAGGCGCCGGGAGTGGGGGAGGGGGGGGGCACTCACGCCCAACCAAAAAAGTTTGGGGGCACAACGCATTCCCCCCTCCCCCTCCAAAAAAAAGAAAAAATCAGTAAAGGAGTAAATATGGTTTGTATTTTTAACCCAAAAGAACATAACAATAGTAAAAAAACCCTGAATTAAATCACATATAACATTCCAATCAAAGAAAAGGAAAGTTAACAGGAATTAAATTTCCTAAACATTCCGCATGCCACCTATAGTTATCAATGGAGGTTTTATCATAGCGGGACGCGCATACCGTGGAAATATTGTGAGAGAATGGGAAAGCGTGTGCTTTTTTTTTGTTATAGCTGGGGTGAGAAGACATGAGCCCCTGAACGCTAGCATACTGATGGGGGGTGTATTTCTTATTCGATACCAGTGATTTACAAATGTTGCTGAAATGACATGATTTTCGGTATTTTTTCTCATTTTGTTTGTAAGTCATACCTTTTTATGCGTTTGTTGGAAAATTAGAAATTCCCAAATTTACAGTCGGGCGAAAAAATGCTTATTTAGAAGCATTCATGTCAAGGCCTGTAGGGTGGCTGGGCTCGGGGGTTCAAGCCCCCCTCACTTTTTAAAAAGTATGTTACAGAGAAAAAGAAAGAAAGAGAGAGAAAAAAAATAAGTGACGTGCCAATGTCACGAATGAGGTATAAAAATATGCTCATCTGACCGTAATTAAGTGCCTAAAACCCTAGAGCTTACGGTGGCTCTGTCCTCGGACCCCACCAAGGGTCCTAAGGCAGTCCACTGGATGCTAATCTGACCGTTATTAAATACCTAGAAACCCCGAGCTTCGGGGGCTCTGCCCCCTGGAACCCACCAACGGCTCGAAGACGGGCCCCTGGATGCTCATCTGACCGTAATAAAATACCTAAAACCCTTGAGTTTCCGGGGGCTCTACCCCTGGACCCCACCAAGGGCCCTAGGGCGGGCCTCTTGATGCTCATCTGACCGTAGTAAAATATCTAAAAACCTCTGACCTTCCGGGGGCTCAGCCCCTTGACGCCCTGCTGGGCGCAGGCCCTGTCCCCCACAACAATTTACGCTCTACCTGGTCGTTAATACTCCACTTTGAGAAACGTTCTGCGGGGCCTGCATGTAACGTGGAAGAGTGGTGGTGATGCAGATTCCCCCCCCCCCAATCCCAAACTGCTTCCGGCGCGCCTGATTTCACTCAAATTTGATAACATTGAAATCGTCCCTGATCATGTAATCACACTGTTATAGGGGAACATACCAATGTCTAAAAATGCTATATTTTTCCTTTGAGATTTCCCTTTGTTGGTGCTCCTTTTTTTTTTTTTTTTAGGAAGTGCCCTTTTGGGGCTGGTCCAACCCCCCCCCCCCCCCCCCCCCCCCCCCCCCCCCCCCCCCCCACTTTGAAAGAAGCGCCGCTGCCCCGGAATGAAAAGACGGAAGTTAAGAAATCCTCTCTTTCCAACTTGTATTAATATTACCAACAGCCAGTACTAACATGAAAATGAAAGGAATATCTTTCACCTCGACATAATACAACGGTGGTAGAGCCTACACTAACAAGTTTTGAAATTACTATAGGCTCTCTCACATCCTCAATTCAATTTCAACTTAGTATTGACTTTACAATTTCTTAAAAAATACCAATTGACCTCTGTATTATTACTAATTTTAAATTTCGGGTAAATAAAACTGATATGTAAATGAAATTACATTTTAAAATTTCTTTCTTTTAATCGAAACTGAACTTTTTCAGCTCTTTTTTTGTTAGCATACCCTTTCTTTTTGTCGATTACAATTCAAATTTAGAACCGTAAAATCCTCATCTTGTTTGTCATATTTTTGAAAACTATTGGAGGATTTCAAATACAGATTTAGCTGAAGATTATAAAACCGAACCTGACAGAACGTCTTTAAATATTTACAAACATTGGTCATTACAGTTTAAATCATAAGACCTTACACAAACATAAAAAACACCAGCAAAACCATACTGAAAGGAACTCAGGAGTAAACAGAAACAAAATGACGTGAGCCATGAGGGTTTGTACAAGTATGGACCATCATATATGTTTGTCATGATGCACTATTGTACATTCTGCGTACTACAATATGAATATGAAAATCAAAGGTATACTTATCTGGAGTAACTGTGAACATGAGCATTAGTAGTAGACAACAATTTTGATATCTTACACCGAGAATGATGTTTATGTTTTATCCATTTTAATAATTTGTATATTTGTTATCTATCTATTCATATATTTATTATCTATCTATTTATCGATTTTTAATTTATATCATTTTATTCGTTATTATCATTAATATTATTATTATTATTATTATTATTATTATTATTATTATTATTATTATTATTATTATTATTATTATTTTTATTATTTTATTATTATTATTATTATCATTATTGTTATCATTGTAATTATAATTATTATTAATTATTATTATTATTAATATTTTCTTTTGGAGATTATTATTATTCATCAACATCGTCGACATTATTATGATTATCTACCTCCAATGTGCATTCAGAAAAACACACAGAAAACACATAATTCAACTGAGAAGTTATTCTTCAATTTACAAATAGGCTTTCCGTCTTTGAAAGAAATCAATTAAATTATTTCAATGCCTCATATAGAAGCATGAACATGAAAAGGAAACAGTTAGTTTTATTCTAAAATAAGATTGGGTTATGTAGCAAATTTATTATTTGAAACTGAAAGAGGAAAGTTAGTGTCAACAAGCCCAGGAAACAAAAAATAATCATTTTTAGGTTATTTCAGCGCGAGACACGTCAACGTTTATTTCTCCTCAAGTCCATGTACATACATTTGAAATACAATCATAAATGAATAGTATCTCTTTCTGACAACAACTCCCATCTTTTTTTGATATAATATGAAGTTTGCCTACGAGGAGACAGTTGTTGTTACTATCGCCATTGTAGCCATCGTGTCTTTACAAGGGGGTAAGAATACCTAGAAAATGTAAATGTTCGTCTTAAAAACTCATCGCATTTTTCTGTTTTAATTTGTTTTGTGTGCTTTAGTAAATTTAAATTTAATAAATTTAAATAGTTTTTAAGGTACTTTTAAAAGACAGACCGAATACCATGTTTCAAACCTTAAGCGAGTTTTTGCAACCGGCGACGCGGCCTTCTACAACGCTTATCTTAGCGGGGGTCGCACTCAGAGCGAAAATTTCCGCATAGCGTCCAAACCTACGAAGGTATTCAGCTGTATCAGCGTCGGGAGTCGAGCTAGTACAGGGTGGCGAGCTCATTTAATACCCCGTAGTCAGCACTTGCGTCGCCGTGCGAAAACTCCCTAATGTATTCAGTGCTACGCGCATATGTCTCCTTAATTCTCAGTTTAATCATCTTCATTCATCTTGAGAAACGAAGGTGCTGGGGACGCTGCAGCACCACATAACTGTTACAGTTACGTGTGCAGCACCTCCCTCATTTTTTCTTTTTGGGGGGAATGCACTTCATCCCCTGTATTGGATGGTGCTGCTGCACGGGGTGCTATCTACCAAGTTTGGAGTGAGAGGGCACCTAGAAATGTAAAGACCTTATCTTCGTGAAAAGCCACCTTCAGCGCCCTGTTTAAAAAGGGGAAAATCACTTACAATTAGACCTACCGTGGGGTGCTGTTAACTATATCTGCTGTTTCAACATTCCGCTGCGTCAGGTATTCAAATAGGACAGAGACGCCGCACCGGGGACTAGGGGGGGGGGGGGCGGCATAATGCCCCCTACACTTTTTCAATTACCCAAAAGCGCCCCTTTTTACAAAGGAAAAGTGCCCCTAAATTTTTTTAAGTGTCCCAATTCCTTTCCACTTCTCATAAGTGCCCCTTTTATTTTGACACGTTCCTCTTTTCCTTTGACAAGATCCCATTTTCAATTGCAATAAGTGTCCATTTTCCATTCTCATATGTGCCCTTTTTAATCTCTAGTAAGTACCCCCTTTTCAGGTACGAGAAGCGCCCCTTTTCACTTTTGATAAGCGCCCCCTTCATCTCTGATTATTTCTTTATTCAAATTTGAGAGGTTCCCCTTATAGTTTGCTTTGACAAGTACCCCTTTTCCGTTTCCCCCCTTCTCATAATTACCCCTTTTTATCTTTGATAAGTGCCCGTTTATTTTAACATGTGCTTCTTATTATTTTAAATAAGAGCCACTTCCCCTTCTCATAAAAGCTCCTTTTTACCTCCGATAAATGCCCCTATTATAATCTGATTATAAAGTGCCTCTTTTCATGTATGGTCAGCGCCTCTTTTCAGATGCGATAAGCGCTCCTTTTCACATCTGATAATTACCATTTTAACAATTATATTGTGCCCCTTTTTTCTTTATAGTAAGGAAACTATCTCTTTTTCATAAATGCCCCTTTTCACTTCTTATAAATGCCATTTTTAACCCTGGTGCGTGCCTCTTTTTTGGGGTGTAAAAAGGGCCCAATTCTCACCTCTGATGATTAGCCTCTGTTCTTTAACACGTGTTCCTTTTCTTTTATAATAAGTGTCTTAACCCTTTGGATTAGTGTCCCCTTTTCCTCTCATCTTTAAACGTGCCCCTCATTTTACGAGACTAAGAGCAATTTCCCCCAAGGCTCGCTCGCTAAGCCCCCTCGTAGTTATAGATGTTATAATTTAATATGCGTGTAACATATCGAAGGACTTTTCAGTCTTGCGTTATGAGTATGTGCTTATAACCCCATCAGGATTGGGTTTTTCCGCTTTATAAGATGTCATTTTTGCACTGCGACCTCACGAATCTTTAAAAGTTTTCCTCGTTCCCTTTCCTCGCTCGCAAATGAATTTTCAGATCATATGATGTATAAAGAGAAACAAATATTGAAACCATCCCCGATAATGTAATCATAATATAGGGGTATATACCAAAGTCTAAAAAAAAATACATTCTCGTTTTGAGATTTCCCTTTGAAGGTGCCCTTTTTGCCTGAAAGTGCCCTTTTTTGTTAGTGCCATCCCACTTTGGAAGTCGCTCCGCCGCCTCTGAACAGAAATGCTCGGAGGAAGCAGTCGCCTTTTAATTTCGAAACTGTCACTTTCGTTTCATTATACAGTAACAAGTCAGACACCCTCTCCTGAATGGCACCGGCTGGATGACGCAGTCTATCTCGTGGACACCATCACCCGATTAGACTACGATGAGGCGCAGTCTGTCTGTAAAGGTTACGGAGCGAATCTAGCAAGGGTTGACTCAGACGAGATCCAGGTATGAAAACGATTCAACTAATGGTCAGCTAGTAATCACAATACATTATTTAGCTTGTAGCGTGATAGATATACAGTTTTAACTTGGTCTAGGTTCTGTGTGTGTTGCTCTGGAAGCGTCGCTTGCTGACGTAGGAATAGCTGCGTCGGCGACTGACACGGTCCTTTGATGCAACATGTGACGGTGATAATTATAGTAAAAAATGAATGCCAAGTGAACGATGCTTTGATAATAATTGCCTTGTTACTGGCGCATGCGATATTGTTTATTACCTACGAGCGTTGCGCATTATGGATCGCGTCATAACCTACGCTAGTAGTGTCTATGAAGGCAGCTAGTGTATAGCGAGTAACATAATGCCATCTTAGCACGATTTACCCCGTCAACGTAACTCTCACATGAAGTTCAAATTCTACGCCAGTCGCTGACGCAATCTTACGTCAGCAAAGACGCATCGTATTCAAGGGGTAATATTTATTTAAAAGAAAAAAGTCCGATTCTTAAAAAAATTATTGTAAATCAATGCACATGTGTACGATTCTTCATTCGAGTGATGACATTTATATACTAGAACGATAGGGAGAATGTTTCAATTTGGTTAAATGGTTTCTAATCAATATCATGTTACGCTCAGTCCAAGTACCCTTTTCTTGGTCAAATTTTGTTCCACATAATTGGTTTTAGGAATGGGAAGTGAGTCGTATGTTTTGTATTTTTCAATATCAATGTAGGTTTTCTTGACGAGTGTCATCTCTCCGGCCTTAGAAGAAACGCGTTACTTTTGGATTGGTTGCGATGACAGAGAGGAAGAAGGTCAATTTAGATGGCTTGACGGCACACCAGTGATGTAAGCACTATAATCACGATATCGACAATAAAATAAGTGCATTTCTTCGATTAATCTTGTAGGACTAATTCACGTCAGTTGACAGTTATTTGTCATTGGACGTTGGATCTCTATGTGGGGCGATGACGTTTATCAGAATTTATGAGGAATGCACGTTTCTAGATTTATGTCAATTAAAATATCAGCAAACACAAAACGTTCTTAAGGCGTTAACACAACTTTCCAAGTTCGTTAAAATGGTTACGACTAAATGGTTATTTATGTCCTATAAACGATTATTTAACCTGCATAAGTCTTGTAGGAGTGAATATTCGACAATACCAACAGGAGTATTTGCTCACCTTCAAGCCTGGGTATCTCATTGTTTTTTAAATTGTCGTGCATTTTTTTTAAAAATTAGATATGATGGTTGGGCATCAAGTGAACCAAACAATAATTTAGGAGATGAAAATTGTGCTTCCCTTCAGTCGAGCACAAGGAATGACAGACATGGACAATGGGACGATGGCCCCTGTACAGCGGACAGAAACTTGATTTGCCAGAAAGGAATTTGTGAGTATAATTACATTTATCAATAGACTTATGTGTCATCAAATCTCAATCTAGTCTTAATTTCATTGCACACAAGGCGTCATTAAGTCTGCCTGACGCAAGACTCCGTCAACGAATGCGATGCGGATTTTGATTCGCAGTGTGAGAATGACGTCGTGCAGAGATTGCCTGCGAAATGAACAGTGCAGTATCATATGGCGCAAGGGCTAACTACGATGCACTGACTTGTTTAGCGCAGGTAATTGACGAATCAAAATTAAGTCTCGTGGGCAGTATTTATGAACATTTTATCATTTACTGTCATATATGTTGCTAGATTTTGGTATTGTATTGCCTTTCTACCACTCTCATTCTTTTTTGTATCTCATCCTACAGATAATTTCCATCTCACGACCCCTCAAACCAATCCGGTTTCGCTAATGTCTACTGCGCCGTCGACTTCGAAATCGAAGGAGAAACACTGTCTCCAGATGACGTCAAGGTATCCATCGGTCAAACTCTTTCGTCATCGAGACCGATTTCCTACTCATCGACGAGTCTTGACGGTGAATTCCGTAATAATAGTTTCCTCCTTTACAACGTGACCGAAGGTGACCAATCTTCTGCTACGCAGGTGAACTGCCGGACCAAAATAGATCCTTTTCACTGGCTACTATTTCTGCTGTCTTTGATTTTTACGGTAATACTATTTTTGTTCCGAACATTTTTTACCATATTTTTGTTAACTGATTGAGTAATATTGTATATGATAGTTGACGATGAAAGAATCCATACCCTTAACGATTTTTCGAAAAATCGATTTGTCCCGATGAATGTGTCTTGAGAATGTGACATATTAAAGCTTACATCTAAAATTATTCAACCTAATCGCTCTTTCATTCTTGAGTTACGAAAAACAAAATAATCATCAAAATCTTGAATCTTAATTCTTACAAGTATAGGCATAATTCATTTGTTCACTTCATGCAGTTCATAACAACATACATAATGTCCATGCATGGATATTATACAAAATACCTATTTAAAAAAGCAACGTACTTGGAGCTTTATCATGTCAATTTAAAGTAGGCCCTAAGAGATTACATATTGGGATGGCTTTTTTGCAATTGTTTTATTTGTTTATTTCTCTTGGTTTTTTTTTCATAACATAAATACAATTTACACATAAACGAGTTATTAACAGGACAGCTTTGTAATTTTCAGCTTTACCGGAGCTGTCATCCGGCCCAACAGTCGGAATGATCAGCTCATCATCAGTCTCTGTCTTCTGGAGCTCTTGGATACCTTTTCCGGACTCCGGCGACGGACCAGTTGTTGGCTACCTTATCTATCAGCAAACTATGGGAGAGGAATGGATAGGGTTGGTAAAATCGACTCGGGTGTGGGAGAGGGCGATCTTCAACGAATAATGGAGTTTGTATTGACCGAGTTGGAACCAGGAACAGAATATTATATCAGTGTGTCTGCCGTCAGAGAAGGTCTCGGCGGAGAAGGACCAAGAAGTCCACTTGTGACTGTTACGACTCCTACCCTCGGTAAGTCGTGATTAGATCAATATTGATTAGGATGTCGTATACATATGTAATAATAATAATAATAATAATATAATAATAATAATAATTCGTCCTTATATAGCGCATTTCAGGACCGCAGGCCCTCTCAATGCCCTTTACAGATATATATTATTACTCTGGTCATCGGATTCATGCTTACCCGCACACCAGGTATGCACATTATCCACTCCCTTGGGAGCATTCCAGCCAGTCGCCAACGTCTAACCATCAGCTAGACATGCATTAGTCACAGCCTCATTTTGCGGTTAATCCTGCGTCCAATTGACATTAAGCCATTGATCTTACACTATTGCCCCTACAACCGACCGACCCCCTCGTCCTGAGCAAGGAGCCGGATCGAGGAGGAGGGCTGGTAGGATTTTTAAATATTTTATCGGGTAAAAATGCCGGATCCATCACTGATTATCGACTACGATGTTGCAATTGCTCCTACAGTTACCCTCGCCTCCTATGACAATCATGGATTTGTCCTTGATCATTGTACAGAACACCTTAATCTGGTCCAAGCACTATCCTGCACACCATTATTATGCGCAGTCTAGGATCTATGGCCAAGGGAACCAAAAGGACATAGGGCCACTGATATCAAATGTCTCTATGAAAATGTATGACATTCTTTGTTGTAGCAATAGGTCTATTCTGCAACTATTAATAAACTAATACATATTCGCGATCAACGCTTATATGTTCAATGTTGCAGAGAGTCAGCACCTAAGGGAAACTACTGCTGTTTGGATGATGATTTTATTGGTGATATCATTCTTGGGGAACATCATACTTGCTATTGCCATGGTGATTGTATGGTAAGAATCAAATCATTTTAATATCTCGCATAAGAGTAATGCCCTTTTTCGAAAATGCCCTTTTTGAATGCAGAATGTGGATTTGCAAAATTGACATAGTTTTTTTAATTTTCTAAATCCTAATTTTAACTAGTTTATACAACAGAGCTGTCTCCAATCTATTCCCCTTGTACAGCCTGCATTACAAAAATACATTTTGGGGTAAAAGAGTAACAAAAATCATGTTTATCATAAACCTGAATATTTGGATATTTAAGTTTTAAGTAAAATACCATTCTTGTATTCCCTCAAAGACCTTAAAATGTAAATTTTCTTACACCTCTTTCTTTACACTGCATAGTATTTGAAAATTCCGAATATGATATTAATAGTGATGGTAATAATGCTCGTAATGACGAGGATGATGATGATGATAATGATAATGATGATTAATCACTATTGCTGTCTGTCATTTCTAAATCGACTATGAAGCAAGCGAAAGCAAAAGAAGGCAGACCTGTCTCGTTTACGTGTTGCCCCATCAGCAGGCGATCCACAGAGCCCTCATTACGAGCTACCTCAACCGAGTGCAGTCAGGCAACATGTCTACCAGGGCCTCAAAAGAACGGGGGTCGGCAACATCCAAGAAGGGGTTTACGATGACACCGCTGATCCAGAGAAATTGGAATACGTCAATATTTCATCTCAAGTTCGAAAGAAGTAATTCCCGTTGAACGTAAGGCGTCATGTAGTGACCCCAGACTGCGTCAACGACACGCGTGACCTTTGACACGCAATAAGTGACATCGCACAAGGAATAGATGTAGAGCTAGTATCACATTGGGCTGCAACAGCTTGCAACTTGTTTTAGACACAACATTTAGAGAAAAATGTTCACTTGGAAACACACTAAATTGGTACTTACGACACATTTGTATATGTCGCACGAACTCCCCGCAACATTTGGGTAAAAAATTTGCCTCGAGTTCGCAAACTGCATTTCCATAATTTTATTAAACTAATTTATTTTCACTGGCTACCTGCCGTAGCAACAAACAACAAACTCCATTTCGTTGACGATCAGCCATGCATGAAGTATTTCGTCTTCTTTGTTGTTAGGGCAGACAGCCAGTGGAACGGATTCGTTTAATAAATTATGGAAATGCAAGCATTGCTTTAAACAAATAGAACTTTGTTATTTCTCGCTCATTTTTCCTGATTTGAGGTGTCATATAAAAGGGCAGAAAATGAAATTTCTAGAAATGTGATTTGTCCTTGAAATTTAGATACCGTTCGCCAAATGACTTTTTGGTACACTTTCTGTAAATAGCTTTTAATCACTCATGCGTGAAATATGCATCATATGGGTTTCATCAAATGAAGGAGGATCTAAGCTTGACAAAATATGTGTCATTTATTAATCATACATGTAATTGTGATTAAGTTACGATAAAACATGGATAATTCTCGGTTACTTTTTTCTGGGACGCACTGTATATTCATTCATGCGCAGAGTGTTATACGTGGATGTATACGCGGATCCAGCAGGCGGCAAGATAGGGGGTCCCAAAAAGGGGCACTTCGTGCGAAAATGTGAAAATCGCGCCGGCCGATTTTTGCTCGGGGGGGGGGGGAGGAGGGGGAGGGGTAGTGAGCACTAATTTATTAGGTTTTGCTCAATTGGGCGGACAATGCTATCTTTTTCTTACTCAACATCCGCCCCCCCCCCCCCTTGAGCGACAGGGGAGGGGCCCATCTTCTTTTTGTATTAAAAAAGGGTGTTTTTTACTTGTTTTTTGCCAGGGGGCCCGGCCCCCCTCCTGGATCCGCCACTGTCATGTATCCCCCACCCCCCTTCCCATGCTTATGATAGTTGGCCTCTGCATTTATCTTGATTCTTTGACTTACCTCCATACTTTCAAGCTTTCAAATATATATCAGCATTTTTTTATGGGGGGATATATTTCATTCGTCACTTTTTATGTAATTCAATTATATTATATGCTGTTATTGTTTTTTTGAATATTTTGTATTTGATTTTTCAATAAATGCAGAAACATCTGCTTAAAAAAAGATGTATCATGGTTTAAATCAACGTGTGTGTGTCTGTGTAATTTTTGTACATGTAGTTATATCGTTATGTTTTTTATCGGGTAGGTAGGACGCGGTCTTTGTTAGGTCTAAACAAAGTTGTTGTATTGCCCTTTAAAAAGCCGACCGTACATTTCAAGATGTTGGGTCGGTCGCAAAGGGCAATTGTTTAGGCATTATAAAATGAAGCGAAGACTTCTCCGCATCTACGCAAAAAAAAATCGGAATATGATTAAATTTGAAAATTCGAAGAAATTCTTCATTCCAAGGATAGTACCTCATAGATAGATAAATAGATGGTTTCCACAATATCTCATTTTAAAAAGAGTGTAACAACATATTGAAATTTATTATAATATACATGCAATACCGGTACACACTATTCAGAATATTGTCCATTAAAGTGAACTTAAGAGATATAGTGGCGGAGCCTATGAAAAAGCAGAGCTTGTTGTGGATAGGCTCCTTAAACTACAAATGACATAATTAACTAAACTAAAGTTTATAAAAAAAAATACACGCTAAACCAGGGAGAGGGAGATTACAGGGATACATGAACCGAGACTCATTGACTACAAAAGACAAGGAAAAGGGAAGGGAATATATCTGCAGCTAAATATTACAATCTAGTTTGTTCTCGATATGATTATATATAAACATAGTTGGCATTGTCATACCGTTATTTACTCATTGTAATAAAAAAGTATACAGCTTGGAGACAAGAATAGTCAGAAATCAGGAATGCCATAGGCATATGTATTCAAATAATAACATTTCAATTTTATTCTGAATACATGAACACTTACAGACCTTTTAATCACAGAATCGAGAGAATTCCAGAACTTAGGACCCTTATATATTAAGGCAGGGCGTACGCAGGATTTTTTCAAGGGGGGGGGGGGGGGTTTAAAATCGGCCCAAAATATTTTGCT